GCGCATGCTTTGTTCTGAAGCTCAGGGTCACGAGCAAATCCAGAACACCGGGGGTGGAAAAAGGTACAGATGGCTGGCGCAGCGTGAGGCCGCAACTGGGCGCGCCATCACTCTTCCTATCTATGTTACGGGTGCGCAGACCCAGGAACGCATGCCGTACCTTGATCCGGCTCTGTGTTGGTCCAGCGCATCTACCGCGTGGTCCGTTAGAGACGTATTCAACCGTCTACGAAATAATTACTTAGTTACAAGGCTCCCCCACCCCTATGGTGCTTCCAAAAAAACATTCTTACCATGTTAACTTGGCGCTCGTAGAAGGGTTGGTCCGAGAGACCCGGTGTTGAAGATACTGCGTCCGGTGGCTGGTACTCCTTTATAAGTCCGAGGGAGAGGATTTCAGTATCGGCCAGACAGTACTTGAGGTAGAAAATAACTGCCCCCAGACACCGAATTGCCAATTCATAGTTACCGAGAGGCGTTCTGCCCAACGGATCAACTGAAACAATTTAAAGGAACATAAATAAGTAGGCAGAAAGCGTGTTGTAATCAACGGTCGAACTGTCATTTTAAGGACAACAAACAGATACAAGTGAGCCAAACGAACGCACGAAGTGATACGGTTAAACTCCAATGTCTCAATGAATTGTGAAGAGGTCGATCCAAAGTTTACATAGCCCCCGTTGGTCAGGACAGGCAACGCATAAAGTAGAACAACTTCAGCCAAAACAAATACCAGCCTCTTCAAGAAGGATCACGTGGCCAATTAATGGCAGGCCCGCAACGGAGGGAGTTTCACACGATCGTCGAATAGGTGGATAAGATTGCCGAACTAGGTAATTGCTGTGTAGTCAGTGGGGAAGCTACCCGTTAATTCCATTCAGTCTCGCAAAACTGGACGAAATTAGGGGGACCAACAGTCCCAACACCATGGCTTAACATTCAGCCACTAGTGGGAGGTAAAGGATTGCGTCTGCAGTACTGACAGTAACCACAATTGTCCATTCCCCAACTCTATAGGGTCTACAGAACAGATCCGGTGGGAAGTCAGCTCAGACTAAATTGGGCGCTCTGGAGACAAGCACATATAAGCATTGCGCCTATGGATTGAACGCGACACCTCTAACACCACGAAGACCAGTGAGTACCACGCATCTGTCTGGTCAGTACTCCTTTATGGATGTAAATTCTGGGTAGTGCCCGTTGAAGATGAGCAAAGCTTGGAAGTGTGTGTGTGTGTCTTAGCCCATTATTGGATCAGGAATCCCTGCCGGAATCCAAACTGGGAGTAGTTGGGAGACGGA